CCATCTAATGACCTAGTTCTCAAATCTTGCAGTGGCTTCAGAAGTTTCTTTGGATACTCCAAAGCACTGTTTCTCAAAGTGTGCTTTAGAATCACCTAACCCACCCTATACCTTGGGAATCAGTTTCCTTGTGGATGGGGCCCTGGCATCTGAATGTTAAAATACACACACTTCCCTCTGCACTGGTTCTGAAGTAGAGCTGGGAAGCCAAGCCCATGCTGCAGAGTCTAGCTGCAGGCAGCTGTGTGAGCACTCTTTAGAGCTTTCTGTTTTCTTTTTATAATGAATGAGAATTTTGCCTCCTGCTTCATAATATAACCAAGATAAATTTAATATTTAAAGTGAATTACATTATCTGACATGGAATAATTTTAACCTCTACCAAGGTTGTCGTGTGCTTTGGGGTTAGACTGCTTAGTTCGTAATCTTGGCCTCATGAAGTTACTTAAATTCTCTGCCTTGCCTAAAAATGGAGATAGTAATAGTACCTACCTTTTAAGATTATTGTGAGGATTAAATCAGATACTAGATGGAAAATGCTTAAATCCATGCACAGTGAATAAGGAGTCAAGGGCCAGTTAATAATGATGCTAATACTATTATTATCCTGAGGTTTTTTTGTTACTGGAAGTATGACCACTCCAGTTTCAGAATTGAGTCCTACAAAATGAGAAAACACCCCATTCCCCGTTGACACAGCCAGACCACAGGCTTATTAAAAGGACGTTTGCCATCCATAGGAAGTCTAAACAGAACACTGGGAAAATGCTTTGTGATAACAGATGATCTCAGGTCACATTCTAGTTTTATTTCTCTTGAGGACCCTGGTATAGCGAGACTGTTCTCAGGCAGTCAGAATCTGTAACAGGTGGGAGGGAAGTACTTGTTTAGAAAATGTCAGAGGATCCACCAAGTTGTTTTTACCAACTGTTCTTCATTCAATTTGTACTCTCTTTTCCTCATTATTCTTTAATGGTTAGGAAAGAGGGCTCATTGTACTTTTTCTTTGTAAAGGTACATATTTCAAATTTGTTTCCTCCATTAAGTTACTTGTTTAAAAAAAATTTAAGAAATTACGTTATATTTGTTTCTTAAAGAAAGATTAGGAAATACAGGTTACTGGTAGTCATGTGATTTCCCTTCTGGACGTCACCATTGTTCACCTGTTATTTTGCTCCCTTTTTCTAGTATGGTCAAGGACAGCAGAGTGGCCAGCAAGGTGTTAGAGGGAGGGGCCACATTTCTAGGAGCTAAGCTGGCCTTCCTGTGGCTAATAGCCTTATACTGGGCAGCCCTACTTTGGGACAAGCACTTGACAACACCCTTGTCCCCAAATGTCCTCTCTGCTTCAGAGCTGTTCTTATTTCCAGGGCTGCTGAGTACTCAAGCATTTCTGGCCTGGTTCACGTAGATTCTGTTCTTCTGGGTTTGTGCTCATTTTTCACATAGCCAGGTGGTGAGGGATCTTGGGCCTCTTAGCTGTAGGAACTGATACTGGCTCTTAAGGTTGCTACTTCTCTGTCTCATTCCTTCTCACTCAATGCAGCTGGGAAGGCTCTGCCTAGGAGGAAGGCTCATTGGGTAAGGCTTTTTAAATGTAATGTTTCCTCCCCCTTTTCTCTTCCCAAAATAAGAGCTTAAAAACTTTAGTGCAGAACTATTGAATTGTATTTATCATTGTTGTGATGGACAAAGGAATTGTCAGCTCTATCATATGGATCCGCTTCACCCCCTTGCAAATGGGAATTGCAGGAAATCATAACTAGCATAAAAAACTGCGTAGATGGGAAGGATGGAATGTGTAACCCCCACTCCCAGAAACAGGCAGAATGGCCAAGCTCACTGATCTCTACATTTGGTGGTCAGGGAGCCAAAGCATGGCCTGAAGATAATGTCACCATCTGGGAATTGAAACCCGAGTCTTCCTGCTCTCCGATTTCTATGTCACCATCACTCGCCTCTTAGCCCCTTTTTTCCACTCATTAACCAGCCCTTGCCACTTCTTTTTTTCTGTAGGTTTCTGTCAACCACCACCCTGGCCAGACCTCACCATCCTGTTTGGCCTCTCAGGCTACTTTAGTCTCAGCCAGGTTCATCTCCTGTGAACAGTATTCTTGTCTCGAGTGAGACTAGGTAAGAGAATGAAGCCCTGTGTGTGTAGGAGGTAGTATCGCTAGCCCTTCTCATGGTGGCGGGCTCCTTGAGGGTGAGGACCATGTATTCTGGTGCCTCTTACATACTAGGCCTTCAGTAAATGCTTGTTGAATTGGATCAGGTCAGGTTTTCTGCTGAAGAACTTTCATTGGCTCCCCACTACTTACCGATCCAAGGCTGAATTTCTCTGCCTGTTTTTTTATGGCTGTACAAACTGGCCTTACTGTAAGTATTCAGTTGAATGCTTAATACTTTGTGGAACAACCAGAGTGTGCTGTGTGGTAGATACTAGGGAAACTATAAGAATTGTCCCTTGCCCTGAAAGATCTCAAATGGAATTTTTTTTTTTCTGTTCTTCCCTTATTCTTGGTCTCTCCCCTTCCCTTTCCCACCTACCCCTCCAACACCTGAGGCCCCCAATTTATCATGCTTTTATTCAGCCTCTAGCTCCAGAAATTCCCTCTTTCCTTCTTCATACTTATTAGCCCTCAAAGCTATCAGGTCACATCACCCTTTCTTCCTTTTTAAGGCTCACTTTGTCTTGGTTCAGATCCTTTTTTTTCTTTCTTTCCTTTCTTTTCATTTTTTTCTTTTTTATTATTTTGTCCATAACTCACAAGTAGCTGTGTGTTCTTGTTTTCTAATTATTCATACCTTGCACTTTAGCATTTTACTGAACCCACGTGGGATACTGAAATGGATACTCTTGCCTTTTTGTGTCTTGATTGTTTGCTACTTGGGTAATTAGCCTCCCCAACTCCATTGAGAATTTCTGGTGGGGTGGGCCCTGAGCCTTCTGAGCATTTTGCAAGCTATCTGTAGAGGATTATCAAGAAATGATGATATATGGGGTAGACAAAAGTATATATATATATACATATATATATATATATATATACATATAGGGTGGAACTATTGGAGTTGAAAGGTGATCTGACAGTGCTTTAGGAGTGTGGTTCCTTTTGGTTGATCTGGATGGAGCAGAGCCAGGGCTGGAGGCCAGAAGACCATCTAGGAATTTTAGGACTGTGGAAACCAAGACCTGAGAGAATATGGAAAAGACAGGAAGGGTCATTCATGTCTCTAAGAGTTTATTCTGAGATTCTCTTAAAACTCTGGTGGGAAAATCTGTTCCTCCTAGAAGTTAACCAGGGTTCTTGGGGAATTGTGTGTGGTGAGACCAGATGCCTGTGTGGTGAATCCTCCAAAAGGAGGATGTGAAAGGTTCCTGGCTGTGGGGAAGCTTATAGCTTCAGGGAACAATTAAGGAGGCAATGGTGAGCAGACCTGTCAAACTGAAGATTTGATTTATTTGTATTAGTGGCATTTGTATTGATTACTCTGGGAAGTTTGGGGATTTGAATTTATTCTGAAATACAAACATTTTCTGTCTTTGCTTTGTGACTGGTGGGGCTTATAGGCTTATGTTGCATTTTTCCTTTGAATAATAGAGTCTTGCATGAAACTAAAAGCAGTGTCATCTTCTTTTGACTTGGGCAGATTTTTAAGAATTATGCTGAAGTTTTCCCCTATCTATCTCCCTTTTATTTCTCAGACTCATCTAGCACTATGAAATAGGTTAGTGACATCTGTGTGCTGGGACCAGTTTCAGATAGCTACATTCCCTGTAATCCAGTTTAAATCTGTGGGGCACATTTAAACTTACCGATATTCTAGTTGGGAAGGGTGGTTGCAAAGGCAAAGCCATTTAATTGTAGCTTGTATGAAAATAAAACCAGTTCGAATTTTCTTCTCACAAACTTTCTCTGAAATTCCGCTTTAGATTTTTTATTTTTGGCAATTGAGTGTTGGGGTGGCAGCATCATTACTGTTGTGATGGAGGGGTATGATAAGCCAGTGGGTGATTTCTTAGAATCCTGAGCCTTTGAAAAATGCTATTCCTTTTGGAAAGCAATAAGTGCAGAAGCCAGGCTGCTTATCTCAGATTCATACCCTCTTCCCATGCTATTCTCAATTACTAAATATTGTGGCCTCAGTCTGCCTAAAAACATGGTGGCTTAACTTTGCTTAAATGTCTGCAACACTTTGGTAATGAAGTTTAGCCCTTTAATATTGACGATGTTGCTAAAAATGTCGATGTAAGAAACGTCCAAAGCTGTAGAGAATTTTTATGAGTTTATTTGAGCCAAACTGATGACATATGCTGGGAAGCAAAATCTCAACAGATTGAGAAAATGCTCTGGAGAATGGCAGTTTTGTAGCTTATTTTTTAATTAGAATCAAAGGAGGAGATGTAGGGAGGGTTCTATAAAATCCATTGGTGGTAGATTAGGGAGGTGGGAGAAAGCATCACAGGGAAATCTCTAGGATAAAAATTGGATAAAAAGCAAAATGAGGAGACACATACTTCTTTTACATTGGTGGATATAGGATAGCTAATAATTAACATTTACAACACATAGAGATGGTATGCGGGAACAAGATAACAGTGAAGGGTTCTGTGGTCTCCTGCTCTGCTTGTCTTGTACTCTGGTGCTGGGGTTCGTGCCTACAAGGGGGTCTAGAAAAGAAAATTACTCTGATATTTCAAAGTATGTCATCCTTGATGCATAAGAACAACAGACAGAGCTCACTTAAGGTAAAGGTTGACCTTTGCTAAAGGAAGCTATAGGCCTGGGACGTGACTACCCACCATGACCTCCCAGTTAGAAGTTTGTGATCAGAACGTCCTGTGTGGTTACTTTTGGTGTCTCAGTTTGTCAGGCCTGCCATATGGCCCCCTGAGCTTGTCAGGTTTATTGTATAGCTCCCTTTTTGTTCACAATAATAGCAAACACTCAGTAGCAGGTACACTGATTGAGTTGTAAGTTCTTTCTGTCTTGCAGGAAGAAACTCACTAATTCACTTTACATGTGAAGGTCAAGTAGAGGAGGAAGCAGCCCTGCGGTGTAGAGAAATCATCTGCCCAAAGGTTACACTTTAAAGAGGTACTTTGAATGAAGTCGTGTGTTGCTTCTTTTGAGAAGGCTTTTTACTATGGTACAATGGTTCCTCTGGAACTCATAGCAAGATTCTTTTTTATCCTCTCCTGTATTTACAGCTGCTTTTTTGGTAGGGGAGCATTCATCTGTTTTAAAAAGTAGAGAGAGGACACAAGACGTTCTCTCAAACAGTGAGGTTGGGAAATCAGAACTGCATTTTCCTTCCAGGAGGGCAAGTTCTAAAGAGTTGTTGTTTGGGTGGAAGAAAAGGAAGTCAGGCTACAGTGACCTCCCCCTACCCCAACCCCCCTAACTCCTAGTTGAACGCACACACACACCCTCCACCCAGAGAGGTTCCTCATAACAGATATGAAGATGTTTAGGACACAGGGTGCTCATTATGGTCCCATTGTTATACTAGACCAAACATTGCTTTTCAGCCCCCGAGTCAGTCAGTTTTTCTGGAAGGCCACTTTCTTGCCCTGAGTATCCATGAGCTGGTGTTGGCCCTAAAGGCCACAACCAGCCTGTGGCGATTGCACTGGAATGTGGGGTCAGAGGCATCATCTGAGAGCATTTTGGACAGGAAGGATTTCTCATCATTAAGATGTTTTCATCATACCAGTGCTTCAAGGCCTTGGAGCTGAGGTTTGCCAGGCAGGTTCTACATGAATCTGTGCCTCTTTCCGCACAGTTTTAACCAGCTAGCTGGTTGTTGACGTGCATCTTTGTTTTGTTATAGGAAGAGGAGGAATTCTGCTTCGCAGTTGAGTGACTGTGCCTGCTATTCAGGGCTATACTTGGAAAGCTAATGAGCACTTTCTTCCACTCTGCACACATTCTGATCCACAGTGGGTGTCAGGCTGGAGGCTGGGGGATATTGAGGTGACAGTAAGGGCAGCTGTGCCCTGAAGCTCCGAGGGCTTGGCTTCTTGGCTGATGGCCCATCCCGCAAAGCTGGGCCACAGGGAGACCTTTAGCTTCCCTGAAATGACTTCTTCTCCCAACTAGATTAGTGTGACCAGCCGGGGGGCGGGCGGGGTGGGCTTCCTGGGGAAGAGGGTGGGGGAGTCTTAATTAAGCCTGCCTGGTTTGGCAGTAGCTCAGACTTACCTTCTGTTTCTGTGTTGGCCAATAGTTTCCTTCGGCTTTCAGAATGACCCGTCTTTGTTTCCAAGGGGGACCCATTTTTGCTAAGCGCAGAGGGGCGCGCGCACACATGTGCACACGTAGGAGGACTACAACCGGCCTTGAGTACTTGCTGTTTTTGCCTTCAGCCTCCTTTCCAGAAGAGGCAGGTGGCCCCTCTTGTTTTTTCATGAGCTGCTTCTGCCACGTTGGAGTTCCTGGAGATTAATGCTGCTGGACTTCCTCATCTGACACAGGCCTGGTAATGAGCCATTCCTTGGGATGGAGTACAGTGGGGAACAGTGCTGCTGTGGCTGACACTGTCTGAGACTCAGGGCTCAGTGGTCAGATTCTGATTGGGAGATATTTGATGGAACTTTGCTTAGTGAAAAATTAGGAGAGCTGAGCTCTGGTTTAGCCACTAACAAGCCCTGTGTCCCTGGGCAGGTCATGGTTTGTCTCTGGGCCTCAGTTCCCCTCTTAAAATGGAAAGACTAGACTTTACAAGGTCAAAGTTTCTTTAGGCAGTAATGTGTTATGATCTCAAGACAAACCCATGAGTCCGCTCCTGATGAGGTGACCAAAGTCAGCAAAGGCCGGGACAGAACAATTTGCAGTTCCCAGTTTTGTCTATAGGCTTTTGCATGTGCTTTTCCCTGTTCATGGAATGCCTACCTTCCCTTTACCCACCTCTTTCTGCTTTCCTGGCTAACATCTTTCTAAAGTCAGTGTCAGCATAGACTGCCGCTTGCCCCATACTAGCGCCCCTTCTCACAAAGCATATTGCCTTGTGCTCTGCAGCGCTTACTCTCTTGAACTGTCTGTTGCCTTATTCTTCTTGACCTCATTGTGAGGACAGAGACTCTGCTATCACCTCTGTATCCTCATCTGGCTGGTGCGGATCCTAGAATGTGATATATATACAGTAAATGTTGCATGATTAAATGACCCCTCTTAGGCCAAGAAGTCCCAGTGCACTCTGGGAGCTGTTCTAGGTCTTCCCCAATCCCTACCTCACCAGCTCTCTGAGGACCTGTGTGTGGGTGCTGGAGAACCTTGAATAGTGCTGAGAATTGTTTTGAAGGTTCTCATTCTTGCAAAGCATTGGGTGATGTTGCCACCCTGCCCTAGGTACTCTTTCAAGGTGTTGCTTCCACCTGGGATGAGCCCCGGACTTTACACTGCTCCTCACCATCTCCAGTACTGGGGGAAGGGCGAGCAGGCACAAGCAGATTGCTGTCTCTGCCACCTGCCTGGGGCTGGGCCATCTGTTGCTTGCGGCAGTGGGTGGGGTGAAGGGTGAACAGCAACCTAATCTCCTTCACTGCTCTGACTACTCTGTAGAATCCAGCTCCCCCACCACCACGTCCCCGCCTCCCCACTCTGCTCTCTCTTCCAGGCCTCTGTTATGCTACCCTTCATCAAGATATTGTTTTTGTTCTAGCTGCTGCCCCTCACCACTCTGCTAGGAGAATCCTTGCTGCGTTTTTGTTTACTCTGTGAGTGTGCTTTGCCCTTTAGTCTATGCCCCCAAGAATCTTTATGTAATATAAGACGCAGCAGAAAAAAAAAAAACCTTTAGAAATGAAACTTTGGACCCCTGTTGGTCTCTGTTCAGATGCAAATGATGAGTCTCTTCCCATCAGAGCTTGTACCTTTGGGTTCACCACCCCCTTTTCCATCCCTCCTCCTGAGGAATCTTTGGACTACAGGAGTGGGCCGAATCAGTCAGGTGGAAAAGCTTGTGTTTCAAGCCTTGCCTCTTCTGGCCTTGTTTGGATATAGGAAAGAAGCAAGGAGAAAGTAACCTATCCCCATCACTCTTGATGGCTCTGGGTTTGGAGGTTCTGAACTGGTTGGTGTTTCTCTTTCTCTCTCTCTCTGCACACATAAAACTGTGAAAGGAGGTGGGATCGGGAGAATGCAGACAGTCTTTTTGTCATTTTTACCAAGTGAAGAGGTGACAAAGCAGGGAATAGAGGGGCAGCATACGCTAAACCAACTCTTCTCAAACGAGCATATGAATCACCTTGGCACTCTTATTAAAATGCAGATTCCGAATCAATAGATCAAGGATGAAGGCGAGTTTCAGAGTTTCTAGTAAGCTCCCAAATGATGCCAGTGCTGCTATTCCATAGCCTATATGTTATATAGCAAGGCCCTAGCTTTCCTCCTCCTCTTCTTCACACTGATTAAAAAGATTGACCTGGAGAAGGCAGGAGGGAGGCTAGTGAGGACATTTATATTTTAAATCTCAGAGCCTAGGCTGGCCTTTCACCAAGTGTTTACAGAGCCCTTACCTGGTTCTTCGTGCCTGAACTGGCTTCCCTGGAGCTTCCTTTGGCCCAATTTGGTTTCCACAGTGTAAGAACCTCTGTCCTTCAGAGGGTGGATGTGCATACTCACAACAAGACTGGATACTTTCCCTTTCTCTTTGGCTCATTGTAAGTAGATAAGGTCAAACCCAGCATTTCAAATAGAATTTCAGAGCTGGGAGAACTCTTAAGTCATCTTTCTCAACCCCTCTCTTTTACTTAGGAAGAAATGGGCCCAGAAAAGTTTTGTGATACGTTTAGAATCAAAACAGCTGGTAGCAGAGCTGGGATTAAAAGCCAGATATCTGAACCCCTAAGCTCCTCTCTCTCTGTTAGCGTCAACAGGAAAATCAAATTGTTTCGACGACAGGAGGTTGGACAAGAGGCCTTCCAGTAGTGTGAAGGAATTCTGCACTATGCACAACTGAAGTATATCTGCTGGCATTTACTGCTGCAGCTCAGCATTTATTCATGTAGGCCAGGGTTCCCAACTGTAGCACTGTCGAAATTTTGGGCCAAATAATTATTATGGGGGATTGTCCTGTGTATCATAGACTGTTTAGCAGCATCCCTGGCCTCTACCCACTAGATCTCAGGAGCATCCCCCACCTCCAAGTTATGACAATCAAAAATGCCTCCAGATGTTGTCAGATATCTTGGGAGGATGTGTAAAATTGTCCCCAGTTAAGAACCACTAGTTAGGCAATAAGTAATTTGGGGCAGAAGGTCCTTCTTGCACACTTAAACTAGGGTTTTTTAAGTACGTGTTAGTCTCAGGGTTAAAACGAAAATATAAAACATATGAGGCTTTGGCCTTCCTGGGACCTTACAGTTTAATTTACAGTTTAGTGGGGAGACGAGACCAACAAATACATGGAAAAGATCAATTGCCATCTTCAGTTACCCTCCAGGATGTAGAGTCCCAGGCCGAACTCTGAAGAATGGGGCGCCAGCCCATGGTACTTAATGAAGAGGAGATTTTGCTGCCCTGGGCTGGATTGTATAGCTAAGACTTGAGTAACTCTTATTTGTATCTTGAGTTATCCTTACCAGCCCTTCTCAAGGAGCATTCTTCCATTCTGAAAAACATTTCATCTGAATCTGTAGAGGTCAGACACATAAACCAACAGATGTATAAATTTGAAGGGAAGGAGGCCTATTTACACCTGATGCTGGTAAGGCTGACTCATTCCTTAATGAGATTTACTTTTTATTTCTAACTTTATTTTCTTCTGCTTTAGGATGAACCCTCTGATAGACCTTTCTTGTCTCTTTTCCAGTGTATTAAGCAATGTTGCCTCAAGGCTATGTAAGAGCTACAGTCTGTAATGTTCTGAGTACAGAGGTATAAAACATGGGTAAATGCCTATTTTGTGAGCCTAAGAAAGGGTCTTTACCCTTTTTTACTCTTCATAGGCTATTGTGCTTACAAATGTCAAGGCCACTGAGACCATCATCTTGCGCTCTCAGCACAAGATGAGAAAAAATATTACTGAAAAAATATTACTCCAGAGCACAAAAAGGATTAGTGATGGACACTTCACAGGTCTTATCAACTTTGCT